GATTTGATGTATACTTGTTAGTACTTACGTTTGAGATTTAAAATAAAGAGCGCGTACAATGAAAGGAGTCCAGGATTTTCATGTTACTCACAGTCATTTTGCTTCACCTTTGTTAGGTGCTTGATTGATGTACTCCGGTCATGCAAATTTCGTTTCCTGTAACTGTCATTAATCATTCAGCACTGCTTCAGTAAGGTGCCGAAGTTGTGCCGCGCAGTCTTTGTATATGTTCGCATTTTTCACAAAATTGTCTACGTCCGTTTCAAATTTAATGAAGTCCGTCAGGATCCGCTCGTTTGTTTGTTTCGCAGAGACTGCATTGTAAAACGCAACTTGCAATGGCTTAAGTAAAGTTTTGTGGCACGCCGTAGTCGGAAGTACCACTAAGTAAACCTATTTGACTTTCATCCAAGACAAATGATTCGATTTTTTTACTGATGCAATTGCCTTTTACACCTTCTCAATCATCAAAGTGACTGTACTTTTCAGCATACATACATTTGTCAAAGAGGAGATGGTAAGAGAGGTAATGATATGATCTATCTGTCTCGGTGGAGCTTATTAAAGCTAAACGGTTTATTTTCACACCTCATTGGTCCTGTCTAATCAGGGGTTAATTACATAAATTATGAATCGATTTTCAAGGTCAGGCGACCAAGTGTAGTCTTGAGTAGGGTATAAATCAAAGACGAAATGATCCGTTATTTACATTCACCAATGAAATTATAAAACAACCCTCTGCATATAGAATCTAATAATGAAACTCAGGCATTGATTCATCCCTCGATCCTGCAAGTTTCTCAGTCTCTCGCCTGGTGACCTAATTCCTTTATTGAGGATACGAAATTACTTAAAAAGACCATGTTACGCCCGATGGTCAGAATTGTTCTCTGCAAGGAATCGCTGAAACCTAACGCCAACCCAGAAAAACATTCTGGCAATATTTAAACAGCGCATCGTATTCAAGGAAACGTAATCCAAGGGTTAGCATAATATGCCAAGCATAGTTTCTTACTTATATTTCTCGGAATCTATGTTGTTGTTTTTGTGACTTATCGAAGCTGCACGAGTTGAAGGAAACAATTGAATCATGAATAAAAATGTCGCACTGAGCAGCAAAGAAGGATTTTGTGAAGCAGACATGATACAAAGAGATTCCTCTCCCGACCTTAGTCTAGTATGTAGCACAGTTGTAGATTAAAGATTTCTATTACTCAAACTTTGTATTTATACAGTGAAATTTTCCTTAACTTATCAAGGCGTAGAAACTACATAAACGTAATGTGAATATGCTAGAAGACAACTGTATTTCCCAGGAGTCTCCCAATACTCATAGGGGAAGATGTTCTGGATCCGTATTTCTCTGCTTGAATTAGCATAGGAAGTTCAAAAGATTCATAAAATATCTCCAGTCGAAATAAGCGTAAAGCTTGCTCTTGTTGTTTAGAAGATGTCTCCTTCTTTGTTTAATCAAACTTCAAAGCTTGCACAATTATGAGGTCAAACCTCAGTAACCCTTAAAATAAATGCAATGTTCCCTCACGGACAGATTATGATTGTAAGAAATAGATAAGGACTTGTAAAATTCTTTATCTTTGCCGTTTTAATTAATACATATCATCATGTGATATTCATCTGTAAGGAGATAACCATACCTTTTTGCATCATTTTGTGAATGACGTTCATGAGTCCTAAATAGGGAACTTTAGCATCACGTTTACGGCAAACGGCGAACCTGAGGAGGTCACGTGACCAACGCTTTGCCATCACGTTTGCAGTTTGCCGTTCCAGTTTCGACGGGAAGAAGGCGCTCCAGCCGTAAGTGACTTACGAGAAGGTTTTTTGGCCACTTAACGAAACCGACTTACGTTTGACACTTTTAGTAAGAATTTTCTACCATCTATGGATCCAAATGTCGTTTTTTTGTGATTAAAAAAACAATGTATTTTGCATGATCGAAATAGAGAAAAAATTACTAGCCCAAGTATTTGGAGTGGAGCATAACCATCACTTCGTTTATGGTAAAAGAGTCGTTCTGTGGTCTGACCATAAGCCATTGGAGACTATCTGCAAGAAACCCTTAGCGTCAGCACCGAACGACTTCAGCGCCTACTCCTGAGACTACAACAATACGATGTAGAGATTCGTTACAAGCCGGGTCCTGAAATGTATTTAGCAGATACTTTGTCCCGAACCTATCTGTCAACCACCGATCGCTCCCCGACTGAAAAAGAGGTTGAGCGTATCCATGCTGTCGATTTCTTAGCCATCTCAGGACCCCAACTTGCAGAGATCCAGCAAGAAAGAGCAGCCGACCCTGTCCTACAGTCCCTCACACAAGTTATCCTAAAGGGCTGGCCAAGGAAGAAAGATGATCTGCCAATAGAAATGCACCCCTACTTTGATGTCCGAGATGAACTGACAGCCCATTATGGAGTTCTCTTCAAAGGTCTTCGATGCCTGATTCCATCAAGTCTCAGACCTAAAATCCGTGCTCGTTTACATGGTGCACACTCTGGTATTGAAAGCTGCCTTCGCAGAGCTGGAGAAGTCGTCTATTGGCCGGGAATGCCTGCTGAAATTAAAGATTACATCTCCAAGTGTGAGATTTGTGCCACCTACAACAAAGAACAGCCCAAAGAACCCCTAATCTCTCATGAGATCCCAAGCCGTCCCTGGGAAACAGTTTAAGTTGACATATTTCATTTTGACAATAGAGATTATCTCTGCACCGTGGATTACTACTTAAGCTACTTTGAGATCGACCCACTCAAAGACAAGACTGCCAGAGAATTCATTCATACCCTATAAGAACACTTCTCAAGGCATGGGATTCCCAGTAAGCTGATGAGTGACAATGATCCACCATTCCACTCTCATGATTTCCAGCAATTTGCGACCAATTATGACACGGAACATCTGGCCAGTTCTCCCCATTACCCACAGCGTAACGGGAAAGTAGAAAACACAATCAAGACTGCCAAGAGTTTATTGAAGAAATCTAAAGCGGCAAGATCACACATCTACCTAGCGCTGCTAGAATGGAAAAATACGCCCTCTGAGGGTTTACAGAGCTCCCCAGCACAAAGGGTGTTCGGTCGTCGAACTCGAACACTGATACCAACCACCAGTCAACTACTCAAGCCCAAGATAGTGGAAGAGGTCCTAGATAAACTCTTCAGAAGGAAACATTTGCAAGAAAAATACTACAATATTAGAGCTAAAGAACTACCACCCCTAAACAGTGGAGAAGCTGTGCCTGTCAAGCCAACAGATAAGTCTGACCAATGGTACAAGGCGCGAGTAGAAAAGCAAGTCGATGTGAGATCATATGATGTGAGAACTGAGGATGGTCGACTTTTTAGAAGAAATAGGAGACAACTCAGAAGCAGCAAAGAACCAGTAGGTTCTAGTAACAGTAAAAACCCTGTGACCCCCAGCATACCAGATATGACGTCCAGATATGAGCCAGTGCCACGAACCTAACAGGAATTTGAGGAATCTCCACCTCCCAAAAGGCCCACTGAAACAGGACAACCTAACTCAAGTCCTGATCCTGCAGATGTTTCACCATCATCTATGCCTTTAAAGCCAGTGGGTTTACCAGTTACTCGCAGTGATCGGACCTCCAGACCACTTAGCCATTTGAAACACTTTGTTGCATCTAAGTGATTTTGCCTAAGCTGTTACTAAAGATATTGTTAGAAATACACTGCGTTTAAAGCTTTCGGTTACATTATCGTTAAGTACTTAGCTACTTGTTCGTTCTTGTTACGAAGGGATTACTTTCTTTTCTTAAAACAAGGAAGGGTGTGAAGATATTGCATTGCCTTAGCGTCCAATCAGATTTCAGTATTTACACGAGCGCGCCAACCTTGTTTGACTCTCTCTGGTTTTCCTCGTCATGACCGCTTTTAACTTGTTTGTAA